GAGCTAGGGAAAATCTTGAGATATTAATGGCGAGCAAAGTGCTCAGTAGTCTTCGAAAACTTGCCAATATCACACGCGGCTCGTACAATGCTATAGATGGCTTAACGCTGAGGCTGTGACATGAAAGAGGCGAGTATTCTCCTATCTTCGAAGAGAATGCACAATTGTTCATGGGAGAGTGAAGTGTGACTCCCAAACTGCCAACACGAAAACCAACGATGAACGAGTGTGCCCATTGATGAAGACTAATTGGAAGTCTCGTAAAACGCAAGAAAAGGAAGGATGCAAGAAGAAATTTGCCTAAACCAATATCTCCATTCTCCCATTCAACTTGTTGCCGGATTTCATCCAGAATGCGAGAAGATCTTCTCTCCTTTCTCTGGTGAAAATACGCAGCACTAACAAGAACCAACAAGGCCCTCTTTTTCTCTACTATGTGCTCAGCCTCAATTACGAGACGTCGGCACATAGTTCGTGAAGATGAACGAGCACCAAGAGTTACTGAACCATGGGATTGGAATGTATACAATCACGTGATGTGAAGCTGACCACAGACCGAAGGCAGACGGGCCTCGATTTGGGCCTCGAGAATTGTGATGGTGTGCTGATTCGATGTGTTGCAAGACTCACTTATGCAAGAGCGGATTACCTTCTATTAATGATGAAACGGCTGAGAGAGCTAAATGCATTGCGGTTTTGCCATACAGTCAGAAGGCATACATGCATGCTTCAATACGACGTATCGTCCATCAGCAGTAGTGTCCAATTTTTTGGACAAACCAATTCTCGGAAAAGTACGAGTAGAGTAATGTTTGATAGCTAGAATTCCCCTGCGTTGCCTCCCGCCTCCTCTTGACGATGAATATGATCCGTCTTACTATGCATCACGCCCAGAATGTGATTGTGATTTGATTGTGAACGTTCTAGATGGTGAAGCTCCGCTATGATATCTTTCTTCAACTTTATGTTATCTCCGTGATTACAGGGCATAGCGTAAACGAGAGTTATGGTGACCCGGTGGACTTCGGATGTATGCACTCGTGTTACGCGACATGTAGCTATGAGCATATCTCATTCTGAAAGCATCATCATTGGTGGATTTCAGAACGATTATTGAAGGAGGAATGAAATCATTTTTGTTTTCTTTCCCAATGAGTCTACGATCCGATTCCGAATTCTCATCAGGTCCGAAAGGGATCAAGGTTCCTATGCAGCAAACCAGAGAAGAATGTGAATGCAAGTGGTGTTTAAAGAGATTTTGTCGATCTAAGCCGTTGTGCGTGTTCTTGATTATATCACCAAATCATGACAGAAAGACGATTGCACATTCTTTTGCCTTTTGCCTTTTGCCTTTTGCCTTTTGCCTTTTGCCTTTTGCCTTTTGCCTTTTGCCTTTTGCCTTTTGCCTTTTGCCTTTTGCCTTTTGTCTTTTGTCTTCGTCTGTCTGGTCTATCCGGTATTCACAGGACTTTCATTTCATGATGTGTAGTAGTGAGTAGTAGTGGCAGTGGTAGGTGCGTTGTCTACTCTCTTGTGGTTGTTTTTCGGAGTTCGGAGGTAAGTGGGACGTTTTAAATCGAATAGTATTTAGCCTAGGGTATGTTAGACAAGGGAACCTAGTCAAAGTAAAGTGTCTACTCCTCTAGTGTCTACGAACTTCGAAGTAGTGTTTTGTCTAGTATCTAGTGTCTAGTGTCTTGTGTCTAGTAACAATATCAATTGATCAGTATTGGCATTTCATATTGTCAATTCTCCTCTCTTCGGCTCCGGAACCCTCCTGAATGTCTCGAGTGACCCCGTCTAGGATACTTGATAATTAGTTAGGCACATTGCAATACGGAAGAAAGCCTCCCCCCGTGCTCGTTTCTAAGAAGTGGCTTCATACTGAAAGAAACCCCTTGCGTAACTTCTTGTACTACCATCACTTGACGCGGTCTTGCTTACGAGGAAAGTACAAGGATATTGGGCAGTCATTCCCCTTCTTCTTCAATTTCATACTCACTACCCTTGTTTTCCTCAGACGATACATCGATAATCATTCCACCGGCGTCTATTAATCGCCTCCAATTCGCTGTGCCGCTAACAAACGGACGTCACACATGAGTTCCTGAAAATTTTGAAATTATCCGATGTCTATCACATTGCTTATCGAAGAGACACTGGTTGATCAGGTCATCACCCTATAGCTAATGCAATTTCAGCCAGGCAGCCTGTAGGTAGCAAGCCAAGGGGAATTTCGAAAATTGGAACTCGAAAGGCTCAATCGAGTCAAGATCCTGTATGTCTCCTTTCGCAGAATTAGTCAATCATCTCCCGTATCTGACAGCGGACACGGCTGTGGGTATCCGTCGTCAAAATAACATGACGTCGGAACCCTGCAGAACGAATGGTCTTGTGGCCCCTTGTGACTTGACAGAGTATCGCGAGAGGCTAAAGTGCTGTGATGAACCACGCATATTAAGTTTGAAGCCGTTGGAATCCTTTACATCCCCCATTGTGGAGTCAAGAAATGCCTTAGTGCAGGTCGGGAGGCCGATATGCGGGCCGATACCGACTGAAGACTGCAATATGACCTGCTTCAGAATATTGAATATACATTCCTGTTCCTGTAGGTAGGTTTGCTTGCATTGACAGAATCTTGGCCCGTAATTTGATGGCCCGTACCTACATACAATCGTTACACAATAGCCATCTTCGAGAGAGCCGAGATCCTTCTGAGATGCGGTGAACTTCTTGAAACATCAATGATAGAAATAATTAGTACTTCAAACCATCATCATCCATCCATTCATCATCTTTTGGCTGCAGAAACTTCGAGTCCTGCCAGCGATCTGTGCCTGGTGCCCCCCGGAGCAGGCCGTCCAGAAGATTGCCCAATCCAGTCGCAAAACCTTCCTTCGACAGCTACAAGTGCCGTATTGTGATCATTTTCAGGGATAAATTTTTAGATGAGAGATAGAAAAGGAGAAAGTAGAGACGTTGCCGCGAAAGTGCATGACATAGTGGCGTTTCTGCCAACAATCGTAGAATTCAATCAATCACGCATGTAAAAGTCCGGCCACCTGCCGATGTGAAATGATTCAGCCGTAGGGCAGAGTTGTACTAATTGAATGAGTACGAACGGCGAGCTGATGAATATGTTGGTGATCAGTCCTCGAGGGGCCAATTGTAACCAAGATCGCGGCAACTTAACGTTGGTGAACGTTGGACTGACCCTAGCGATGCAAGCTAAAGAGGAATAGAAAATATGCATAATTGCGGCTGTTGGGTAGAATGTTAAATTGTAAGAGAAGTGTGAGAGAAAAAGAGGATACCGGTTAAGATTACTATATAAAAAAAATTGTTTGAATTGTTGGATTGGTTGTAGATTCTGAATTCTTTTTGGATCTGCCGAGTCCCCCAAGTCCGTCAGCAAACAGGGCCGACGGTTGAAGGTGGACCATAAGAGAAAACTCAATTGCGGGAGCGCCTGGGACTTTGTTTTCTCTGGGTTTAGAGGTTGGACTTATCACCTAGTACCTTTGTTTAGCTTCGTTGGTTGAATACATCTGATGCAGCTTGTTAACCCAGCCCTACAGAAAGATGATCCCTTTGTCGATTCCCGTTGTCGCAAAAAAGTGAGAAAAAGCTTCGAGAAGCCTTACGTACTGGAGTACTGTACTGTATAAAAGTCTTGCTGTGCCATTTCTTGGATTAATAGAAACTCGTGAACTAAATGCCCTTAGGGTGTGATATATTTCTATTTTGGAACAAAAAGTTGGGTTGATACGATCTCAAAGGTAGAGAAGCCTCTTTTCACAATGTCCGCTTGACACATCCACATGGCACCCCCGTAGAATATGATTCATCTAAGGGTTCAAAGCGTCTAAAACCGAGAGATCTATAGGTGCTACGTGAGTTACTAAGGTAGTAAAAAGCCTAAGCCTGCCATTAACATCGTAGTGTATGTTGTGAGCCGCAGTCTCTAATCGGATCTAAGCCGTTTGATTGGAGCATAGTTGTACAAAGACTTAGAGAACTTTGGAATTCTCGATATTTGATTCGACCAATGTTGCGACCCCATGTAGCAAATGGCACTCTTACGGTGGCTTTGGTCTTTTTTCCCTCTTTTGGCGGATAATCAATCAATCGGGCTTGTAGTTTGCGATTTGACCTGGTCTATAGTCTGGTCTGGTGTTATTTGGTGTGGTCATACTCGAAACAATTTAATCAGGATGATAATTTTCATTAAGTGCTAGATATACTCCATACTAAATAAGAATGAAACTAATGAAGTGTCTAAGAGAACAAAACTGGTGAATTTTAGTCGAAAATGAAGGGGGAAAAACGTCAAACCCCCGGTTAAACGACACTACCTAAGCCTAATACAATAGCGAGAGCACTGACTGATGTGATTACATATATGATGAATTGATCTGTCAACTCCAAACCCCCAATTTCGTAAAACCCCCAACTTATCTTATTTCCTTTACTAGATTACTAGATTATAATAAAATATTATGCAATGGCATGATGATGTAGCTCACTAGATATATTCGTTCTTCCAGTTATCTATCCCCACGCGCAGGTTCATTCAGCCATGATCTAAAATCAGTCAACTAAAATCAAGCTTGTGTATTGTGTACTCACGGTAATATACCGTACTTGGCTCAAAATAGGTGCAGCAATTCTGTTTCTTTTGCCCTTGCCCTCTAGTCTCTGCTCTAGTCTCTGGTCTCTAGCCTCTGCTTTCTAGCCTCTAATCAATCTAGTCTCTAGATCTACATTTGCTACTGAAGATGGTTAAGGGTAATTTAGTTGCAGGTCCCATTATTTGGTCCTTGTAACTTTTGCAAACCTTGCAGGTCCTTGCTGCCTCGGGTGGATCATCCATTTTGTAATTTTCAATAATCAGAACGCTTGACTTGTCCGCAACTGCATCGATCCTCCTTTCGCCGTACCTGCAATCTAGGATTGGCCATGTGAGCTTGCGCTTTTAGCTATGGCGCCCTACCGATACCATGTCAGCGATAGAATTGATACCTGCCCGCCTTACCACTACTCTCACTGTGTTCCTTAATCCTCTAGCCAACCGTTTGCGCGGCGGATGACGGCTATTTTCTTGTTAATATTCACGGAAAGCCTGGTATGATACCTCTATGGCTACAGCTCGATCTGCCAATTCCAACTACATCAAACCCCTTACGGAAAGAACTACCAACAAGAAGGCACACCAGCTCGTCGGCAGGCATCTTCCCCCCCCTCTCAGACTGACTTCGTGTTGACATCCTGCGATGGATGGCAAAGCAAACAACATTTTCCAAATTGAATGACAGGCAGTACCGTTCACTCGGAATGGTACGACGGTGTATAAAGCAAGCTGCCGTCGCTCATGATTTTAGAGGTTCAACAGCTCCATCATCACTTCTAAGTTCACCACCACACAAATAGCCTACCATCTACAATATATTTATCTGCCAGCTTTCCTCATATAAAAAGTTCCTCAGCAAATACATCATCTCACACACGTTCGCCATTGTCCAAGTAAGTACCAAACTTTACTTGTGCTTCACATTTTTCTCAAGATAAAGAGTTTCTAGCACTTATCCTTGCCATTGGTTTCCGATGCTAATTCCGGTGCGTCTTGATAGGTCAATTCAAAATTTTAATTACAAGCTCGCGATACTTTCCCGAACAATCACCGCCAAAATGTGCACTCACTACGTCGTCTACAAAAGCTGCAACAGACACTTCGACACCAAGATAGTCAAATGTGCTGCTTGCAAAGCGAGTGGAAGTTGCCCAAGTGGACCAAAAATTGAGACATCCAATGCTGGAGAACCATGTACAAGTGGCTGTCCCTCGTAAGTAAGTGCGACTCCAACATTCCTGCTTAGTCATCTACTGATTAAGGTCAGAGAATATGCCTCCTCGAACCTTTAAACCGTATTCGAAGGCGGCACCTCGGAATTCTCCAATCGTCTCCGACGGGACTAGTCGAGTGGAGCTGGATATTTTGTGGGCATCCGTGCAGATGAAGGGGTTTGGAGCTAGAGGCGAATTTAGAACAGGGTCAGAAATCTAAGGTGCAAAGATTGGTCATGAATCGCTGCTGTAATCATACAAGCATACTTGGGAGTTCATGGGACAATATCTCATTATGTTGTTACTTTTGGGGGGTTTTCGTTCTGCTGTGGTAGATTTTAGTCGACACTTTTTTTCTTAATTACAATCGTCTTTCTCTTAAATCATATTGAAATGTAGCAACAACATGTGAAGAGTGCACAAGTGAGGTCAATTTTGCCAAATATGTGAGCCAATGCAGTTTTGAACAATTCAATTGTTCCACTACCTCTTCCCCAGAGTGTGTCCTTATGTTCAACTCTCTTTTCTTCTGAAATTCTGCCAATCGAACATGTGGCCAAAAAGATCATGTACGCTAGCTATGGAGTAAAACTTGAGTGAGGTTGAACAATTTGCCGTGCGGCTTTCTTTGTGTAACTACAGGCCCCCTGAGAGAGCGCGACACCCGCCGTCTTCGACTGACTGATAGTCTTATCAGTCGTATTGCGGCTAATATCCCGCAAGCAACGGGCAACGAATGTGACATGGGCTATCACCGATCGATAAGAAAGGGGAAGAAGCGCGGTTGAGATTCCAGGTCCAGGGATGCAAATCCTTGCATTTTACATGCAGCTATATTCAATCATGTGATAAGGCTAGTCAGAAATCAGGCAATTGCCAGTGGAGGCCTAATCCTAGTTTTCTTTTGGACCGGATATTTCCCTTTTTAGTGCTGACAGTGCGGAGAGCAACCACATCTGCGATGTCGCTATCAATGGACCTCGAAATATTGGCAGTTCTTGGTCGTGTCCTTCCATTCACAGAGTAGCAAGTGAAGATGAGCATGTCATAGCGCGTCTACCGCCTAAAAAGAGTGGATGGGTAAAGGAGAATTCTCTTGAGTAGAGATTCTGCACCACTCAAACCCGTCGCGATGATAGCCAGAACTCAGCTATCAGCCAAGTTGTGGAGCTGTGATACCATCGGGAGCAGAAGAGCGGCACGTACTTACGAGGAGCAAAACTTAATGTGATGAGAATATGAGGTGTTACATGCAAATTGAGGAAGGTATCCATCTTCCTATATGCAACATCGTGGCATTCTGAGATGACCTTCTCAAGATAGATAGAACATGATGAGTCGAAAATTCGAAATGAGCAGAGGGCCTCCTCGTTGCCTGGCCTTCAAGGCCCAGGGGCATCAGACGAAATTTTTACATGTAGTGTTGTAATGTGATGAATTGTGCAGGGTAAGGTTATCCTTGCTAAATGTGAGCTCAAGGTATGCCCGCTTATGCCGTCAAAAAGTTTTACAAGGAAGAAAAAAAGCGCCGGCTAATTAGACGCAGACTGGCGCGCCAAATAAATCACACGACAGAGAAGCTGAAGATAACTGCATACAAACTAATGCAGGTATATTACTCCATACGTTCTGGTGAAAAACTGACACCAAACCAAATGTCCTTAGACAGATGTCATTCTGAAACTCTTATGTGATAGTTTATCATCTTGCGTTTCAGGCAACGTCATCCATATAACATTACAAGTTGGATGCTGGGAGCTGCTGCTGCGAAGGGGGTTTGCGGTAGACGACCCGGACTGGTTCAAATACTAGGTGTTCTAATTTCAGGTTTTGTACCCGGAAGGATTTGGAATTTCGACGATGTTCATAGTATTGTGCTGTAACCAGGAACCAAGAAACATGATAAATGATGGAGCTATCTTTTATTAAAATTTCGAGTGATGTAGATCATGACCAGGATTCCCCTTGATCTATTTTCCATCAGCTCGTATACCGATAATTATGGAGTAGTCGAATAATAAAATTATCCGCGGATGTACTAAAATAAGTGAGAGGAGTGATTCGGGAAGCATAGGTAATAATTAATAAGATCGAAAGAGGAAAGCGGAAGTCCGGAGTTAGTAAGCATTGGTGGCTCGGTGGATAGCAATGGAATGCCGCTATAGTAATCAAGCGTTGCTGCTTTAACAACTTCCCCATCTAGATGTCAATTGTCTACTAATAATTATCATCCTCGTCTACAAAGCACAAAATACGTGTAGGGCATGAACAGCAATGTTAAATAATACCACTTCAACAAATAGAAGGTAACAATAGTTCTTCTCTGTTCCCTCTTCTTCCCGTCCAATCAGCAAAAGGAGTGTTTGTTATCTGAAGCCAACAACATCAGTCCAATTGCGTCATCACTATAATCAACATTATTGATTGATTGATCGATCATATCGGAAGAAGAAAAAATTCATTGCCAAATGTCTATCGACCTCAATTGGGAGACATTGACTACCGGGCCAGATGGGATTGCCCTCGCAGAAAAGATCCGAGACTTTGTGCATACCAAGTTCCAGACCGTGACTTTGCCCCGCTTCATCAAGGGTGTTAAAGTGCACACATTTGAATTTGGCTCAATTGCTCCAGAGGTCGAACTAAAAGATATTTGCGATCCATTACCTGATTTCTACGAAGATATCGATGACGACTATGTAGAAGATGACGAAGACGAAGAGAACTCTGAGAATTCTCAAACTGATGAGGAGAATGAAGTCGCCAAGACTTTGCGAGAAAGAAGGAGGATGGACCGAGTAGAGAGGACGGCAAATGGTTCATCACATACATCGACCCCTCCTGCATATATTGACACACGGTATCCTGGACTGCGATCAATGCAAGCTTCTGGTGACACCGGAAGTCCCTTTTTAGGTGTTAGCACACCTGGTATTCCAGGTGGAACATCAAATTTGAGTTATTTCCATTCTCAATTAGCCAGTGGATTATCTGGCACTCAAACCCCACTAGCCGCGGTTGCCGGTGCACATCTACCTCAAGGATGGCCGGACAGACCTAGCCCATCTCTACATCTATCCGCTCTCCGTAATCAATCTCATACGCCTTTATCTCACACAACGAGTGAAAGGTCCATGACTCCTCCGCAAATTGCGGATCTGAGCCAGCAATCGCTACGCGAGAAGACCAGTGTATCCACTCTCGCTGCTTCGTCTTCAACAACTAGACCAGCAACTCGAGACGGCGCCCCCGAAGAAACGATACCAGAGGAACACGTTGGCGAAAACGAAGAGCCAACTTCACCACCACGGAGATTTCGAGAGCCCAAGGTGGAAGATCTTCAGACTGTATTCCGAGTCCGATACTCTGGAAATATTCGACTTTCACTCACGGTCGATATCTTACTTGACTACCCTATGCCAAGCTTCGTGGGCATTCCTGTGAAATTGAACATCACGGGGCTATCGTTTGACGGGGTTGCTGTCCTAGCATACATCCGCAAGAGAGCTCATTTCTGTTTCCTATCGCCTGAAGATGCATATGCTGCTATCGGGGCAGATGAGAAAGACGCAGATGCTTCGGCTGGAATGAAAATGGGAGCTCTTCTGCACGAGATCAAGGTTGAGAGCGAAATTGGGCAAAGGGAGAATGGCAAGCAAGTACTCAAGAATGTGGGTAAGGTAGAAAAGTTTGTTCTTGAGCAAGTCAGACGCATCTTCGAGGATGAATTTGTGTACCCTAGTTTCTGGACATTTCTGGTATAACATTTCAAGGGAAATCAAATGACATTCATTAACAACTTCGCCAACCCAAGATTATCAATAACCAACACGATCCTCCAAGCGGTTTGGAAATGAGCACAGCTCAATGTGAGAATTCCCAGAATCTAGGATTAAACCAAGTCGGTTTGTGCATTATATGATGAGAGGAACCCGGAGCCCCTCGTCCAGTAGAGCCCCTATACGCAAAATAGATATCGCTTGGTAATTAGCCTTTACACCGATGACTCCTGTGACAACCTGGCAGACTTCTAAGCTAAGGTCGCCTTAAATCCTTGATATGCCGAATTCATGTCCAGTTCCAATTCTCGCGCTTTATCCTCACTGACCTCATCCGTTGCCCTCATTTGATTCAAAGCAATGAGCCACTGAACAATCTTCCCCCTGCCCTCAAAGTCTTTGTCCGTAACCTTATTTACACTTTGTATGACATCTGACAATAGCGGATGTAGTTGATCCTTCGCCAACAATCCCAATTTAAGTGCATCCAAAAATGTTATAAAATCTTGTGTCGCTTCGAGAATTAACGTTCCGTTAGTAGCGCTGTTGTTTGAAGTGGAGGCATTATGTGATGGTGCAGTAACGGTGCTAGGTAATCCAATTCGAAGTCTTTCCGTGGCTCTAGGGACATCTATCTGTAAAAAGTCGCACTCAGTTATCACGTAATTGAAAATCGAGTTCCGGAATATACACACATCCCATTCACTCTTGAAAGTCTCTAAATCCACAAACTCCCTAGCTACACTTTCGTCTGCTAATATAGCTTTGTATTGCTTCAATAATCGGTCGCAAGTCTCAGTGTAATCTGATTCTGGAATCGCATCCTTAAGATAGGCTCTTTCGAGTTGATCTAAAGTGATTATGATACTGAACACTTCTGCAAGTGAGTCTTGCAGGTCGCGCTCTGCTCTAGACTCGGCGAGCTTCACTTCCTGAATTTGGGAATGAGCTGGGGCATTCTCAAACAGAGAGGGATATTTACCTCATCCAAATTTATGGTTGCGGATAATGCTGTGTTCGGTATATAACTGTGAGGTGTAGGCGCATACGCCGGCTGTCTGTTTTGATACATATTGTTTATGGAGTTCGATTAATGTCTTCGATGAGCTCGGGGGTCTATCGTAGGTTGTTGGTGGGGGAAAGCTTAGGCTGTCGCAATCGCGTCTGCTGTGTAACGAGTAACATTTTGTAGCCATGAAACCCCCGAATCAATGTATAAGACAAGTTTTGTATGTGAGTGTCCGTCAAGATATTATAATCGGCGTTGAACCCCGTCAAGAAGCTAACAGATCGAAGAGTTTAAGGTATCTTGGATAATTGCTTTGCTGCGAGAAAGATTACCGTGATTGTAATTGATTAATTGAAGGTTCCTGGTAAAAGCTACGGAACTCTCACCGCTTTTGATATGCTATATCCGTACTAGCTTATCGCTGTAAAGATTTCCATCTCAAAAAAATCTCAGAATTTATTTTGCAATTTTATTATCAAAAACTCCAATTCAACCATGGCGAAAAGTACTAAAAAGTCCACTCGTAAATTCGAGAAGAATCATCTCAAGGATACATTGGAAAAGCGTAAAGATGGCGCAAAGTATAAGCAAAGACAACAAATGAAAGCAAAGCGAACGGCTCGAAATGCTAAGGATGCCGAATTCTTGGGAGGAAAAGAGGACGGGGAGGAAGGTACAAAGCCTAAACCATCTGCGAAAGAGGATGCATTCGGAAAGATGAGCGTCGATGATTTCTTTCAAGGTGGTTTTGAAGTTCCAGCCAAGCTTGAAAAAAAATCGAAAGCAAAGAAGGGAGCAGAGAAGTTAGGAAAGAGGAAGAGAACCGAGCCTGAGGAAGAAGAAGAGGAAGAATCATCCGATGATTCAATTGGAGAGGCGCCAGTAATGAGCGACAGTGAAGATGGCGATGATGATAACGACGAAGGAATGACTGGTATGAGCAAGAGTGCCATGGATGCGCTCGCTGAGAAGGACCCGGAATTTTATAAATATCTCAAAGAGAACGACCCAGAAGCCTTGGATTTCGAGGACGATGCAGACTTTGCCGAAGTTGACGAGTTAAGTGGTGAAGAAGATGAACAACCAAAAAAGAAGAAACAAAAGAAGTCGAAAAAGGCAAAGAAGGAGGAGGTCGTAGAGGTAGAGGAGGAGGAGGAGGCGCAAGAAGAAGAAGCTGAGGAGGAAGATGCCTCTGAAGTCACTAAAGCAATGGTCACAAAGTGGACCAAAGCAATGTCTGAACAGAAGTCTCTACGGGCCATGCGACAAGTTGTTCTAGCTTTTAGAGCAGCTGCGCACGTCAATGAAGACGATGGAAAGGAATACAAATACTCGATAACGAATCCTGAAGTCTATCACGAGCTCTTGCTTGCTGCCTTGAAGCAAGTTCCCGAGGTTCTCAATCATCATCTTCCAGTCAAGGAGAGTGCTGCTGGCAAAGTCAGAGTTTCAACAGATTCGAAGAAGTTTAAGACGCTGTCACCCCTCTTGCGATCTCACATTACTTCTGTTCAACATCTCCTCGCTTCGCTGTCCGATGCCTCTACCCTCAAACTTACACTTTCCTCGGTCATACCACTTCTTCCATATCTCTTATCTTTCAAAAAGGTTCTCAAGAATGTCGTTAAGACCGTGGTAGACATTTGGTCCGACGCCTCGAGTACAGAAGCAACCCGAATCACTGCTTTCCTGGTTATCCGACGTCTGGCAATAATTGGTGACGCTGGACTAAGGGAAGCCGTTATGAAGACGGTATATCAAGGTTTGCTCAAAGGAAGCCGAAATACCACCATTCATACTATTCAGGGAATAAATCTTATGAAGAACTCCGCCGCTGAGTTATGGGGAATCGATCAAGGTGTTGGATATACAACCGGTTTTACATTTATTCGTCAACTAGCAATTCATTTGCGAAGCAGCATCACAAATAACCAGAAAGAATCATACAAGCAAGTCTACAATTGGCAATACGTCCATTCTCTTGATTTCTGGTCGACTGTTCTAGCTGAGCATTGTAATTCCCTGAAGGAGGCTGAGACAGGAAAAGAATCTCAACTTCGACCGCTCATCTACCCAACTGTTCAAGTCACCCTTGGAGCTATGCGTCTTATCCCAACTTCCACTTATTTCCCACTCCGATTCCACTTAATCCGTTCGTTACTTCGACTCTCGCGAGCCACTGGAACATACATTCCTTTAGCATCTGTATTACTCGAGGTCCTTAACTCCGCAGAAATGAAAAAGCCCCCTAAGCCGAGCACATCTAAATTCTTCGACTTCACATCCAACTTCAAAGCTCAAAAGTCCTATCTTCGTACACGAGTTTATCAAGATGGTATTGGGGAGCAGGTGGCTGAATTACTTGCCGAGTTCTTTGTCCTCTGGTCTACGAGCATTGCACTTCCAGAACTAACATTACCGGTTGTCGTAATGTTAAAGCGATGGCTCAAGGATGCTTCGAACAAGAGCTCCGGAAACAAGAACAGCAAAGTAAACTCCATGTTTGTACTCCTCATTCAAAAATTGGAAGCAAACTCAAAATGGATTGAGGGAAAGAGAGCTAAGGTTGAGTTCGCACCCAACGATCGAGCTGGAGTAGATGGCTTCTTGAAAGGATTCGAATGGGAAAAGACTCCACTGGGAGCATTTGTTGTTGGACAAAGAAAGCAGAGAGAGGAGAAGGCGAAGATGTTGGAAGAAGGCAGAAGGGAAGAAGACAGAAAGAGAAAGTTGGAACGTGAGCAGGAAAAGGAAATGGGAGGCAGTGATGATGATTCTGAGGTGGATGATGAAGAAGACTCCGAGGCCGGCTTTGAGGATGAAGAGTAAACCATGGTACTTGTGATTGTTGTTATTTCGGAAAAGTGTTGGGAATATCTATCTCGGGAGTTTTGGTGGCCAAAGATCGCATACCTCTATAAATGGTATGTTGTATGACCAGCATTAGATGTGAAGCTATAGCCTAGTCTTAAAATGAATTCGTATTAATGCAACTGGCCATGGCCAACGATTTCTTATCTGCGACCAGTCTATGCAGAAGACTTGGTGATTGAATGTTGTAAGCAATTGTGAAGTGTGTCCAGACTACACGAGTAAGTGAGCCCTTGATCGTTACGTTGATTTGTGCAGGTTTCTGAAACCAGTACTGGATATCCAGGTATCTGGGCACTTCTCCATCTCCATCGCTTAAGATGGATAGCCAATCAACTTTCGCGTGCGAATTTTATGATTTATGATTGGTCAATGCGAGAACAAATACTAAAGCTTCCAACGACCCTTTTAATGCTTTGCTTTTATGCACATGTTTACTTGGTACGGACTACCTCCAATCAATTTTTCAAACATAGGAGTATGGGATCCAACTCAATTCCCCAAGGTTTTCACTAAACGACCAGATGATCATAGACCATAGTGGAAGCTGTTCACGTACGAAAATCCCCGGAATCATTGCCTCTTTCACTGAAAGAGGTAGCCTATGAGACGCGGAGTCCCCAGGCTATCTTCATACTAACGTAGGGGGACCCTTGATGCAAATTGCTATGCAGGAACTTCAGTTTGATAGTCGCCCATGTGGTAGCTCGATAGGTTGATCAGCTTCTTGAGCAACATGGGTTAAATGGAGCACCGTTGTTGCTTCATCGGGTAATGAGGGGTATTGATACTGATAATTATGGAAAATCGATTATGCTAGATATTTTACATACTCTTACCCCTCATCTTTCTTTTTTGCTCCTGCTGTCATTATCGATCTTTACTATCAACTACGTACAAGATCTCTTTGCCCAGAGTAATGAGAGACTACCATGGCTTCTCTTACCCTTAACATTTTAAGAGAGCCTCAGAATCAAATCTTCACCACAGTTGTGGTTTTATTCATCTTCATTGCTGTCATTTTCATTTCAAGAAATGCTTCTCTTTACCCCAAGAACTCGGCACAAGATGAAGAAAATCCTAGTGCTTTAAAATCCTTCTTGAGATTTTTCTATGCGTCGTTTCTCAAACCGCATAATGGAGATGGTACCGAAAATGGCCAGCAAGATGCACTGGAAAGTTTCTACAAAGCACAGGCGGGAGTGTATGATGCGACAAGGAAGAGGTTGTTGAGGGGGAGAAAAGATATGCTGGCGTTGGTGGCGGCACAACTGGTCAATAAGGCGAGTAGGGAACGTACTCATGATACGAAACGCATTTGGGTCGATGTGAGTTTTTTTTTTTTTTTTTGGCTTAGAACATGTCGAAGATGACACGATTCCACAACCGAGCCCTTCTGAAATATAAAAAATGCTAACAATCACGAGTAGATTGGCGGTGGCACTGGATGGAATATCGAGGCGATGTCTGAATATGTCTCGGTTCCAGAGTTCTTCTCTAGCGTTTATCTTGTTGATTTTTCTCCCAGTCTATGTGAAGTTGCACGAAAGAGATTCAAGCGACTTGGCTGGAAAAATGTCAAGGTTGTGTGTCAGGATGCTCGCACATTTCGTCTAGAAGATCACGAAGATATCGATCTTGAAGATGCCAGTTTCTCGCGGTCGCCTACTTCGAATTATTTCTCGAATTCGAATGCTGTTGGTGGTGCGGATCTCATTACTTTGTCCTACAGCTTATCTATGATTGTGAGTGTTTGACGCTTACATTGAGATTGGATGTTCCAGTTGTTAACCATTTATAGCCTGACTTTTATTCTGTCATCGATTCTCTTGCCAACTTACTCGCTCCCTCGGGGATGGTCGGTGTTGTAGATTTCTACGTCCAATCGATCGTGGATCTTAGCTGTAGAAACTACACTGGCGGCGTGATAAATCGACATGTGAACTGGTTAGGGAGACTTTTCTGGCGAGCATGGTTCGATGTCGATCGTGTGAATCTAGAGGCTGGTCGTAGAGATTACCTCGAATATCGATTTGGAACTGTTCTCAGCGCAGATTCAAGAAATAACTTGTTAGGCTTTATTCCATACTACATATGGCTTGGTTGTCAGAAGAAACCTGCATCCTCAATCGCAGCTCCAAATTACCCGCATGAAATGGTTGAACGTCTCGACGCCGCCGTAACAGAATCTCCGTACCTGTCTCCTATCAACCATACGAAAACGCTATCCCGCACTGCGGATGGATCAACACTACCAGAGATTCGATCCAAAGCGTTCGAAGCAGCCATCGTTAATCTCTCAGCAAATCTGCCACTCCCTTCTTTCTTCTACCAGAATCATCACTGGCGAATCCACTACGATGATCAGCTCAAAAAACACACCCAATTTGGACAAGAATATATCTACGCCTTTACTTGGGAAGATACCCGAGTGGACGAACGTCTCCTCAACATCACTCGCGACGATGTTATCTTAGCAATAACAAGCGCAGGTGACAATATCCTCTCCTACGCCCTCAAATCTCCTCGTCGTATCCACGCTATTGATTTAAACCCCAACCAAAACCACCTTCTTGAATTGAAAGTCGCCTCCTTCGCCGCCCTCCCGTACTCCGATTTCTGGAAACTGTTCGGTCTTGGGAAACATCCCCAATTTCGAGAACTACTTCTTACACGTCTCTCGCCTCACATGTCTTCCAGGGCTTTCCAATATTGGCTAACCCATGCCAACGTGTTTACCACCAGCTCTCGCGGTCTCTATGAAACCGGTGGCTCTCGCCATGCCATCCGCATTGTCCGTCTTCTATCCCAAACCCTCGGGTTTAGCAACGAAATCAAAGCTTTGCTCACCTCCAAGACCCTCAACGAACAGCGAGAAGTCTGGAAAACAAAAATCCGACCCATAATCATGAGCCGAATTTTCTCCTACCTCGTCGTATCTCAAGAAACCTTTCTCTGGAAAGCCCTTGGAGTTCCGAAAAATCAGCTCCATATGTTGGAAGCGGATTACATAGCTTCTGAATCCGTAGCGCGAAATGCTTCGCCGCTAGAACATTCGGAGACTGACTTGAAGAAGAGCAAGGGAAGTGCGGTGTGGGAATATATGATTCAGACTCTAGATCCAGTGATTGAAAATTCGTTGATAGGGGAGGACAATCCATATTACTTAGTTTGTCTTCAAGGTTCTTATACTCAGAGATGTCACCCTGATTATCTGCGTCCGAAATCACATCAAAAGTTATCTCGTCATGATGCGTTTGACGGGTTGAGAATCCATACGGATGAAATTGATGAAGTGATTCAAAGAATCACGCCGGGTACGCTTACGATTGCGGTGGTTATGGATAGTATGGATTGGTTTGATCCGGGAGCTGAGGCTGCGGAAAAGCAGATTAGGAAGTTGAATCGTGCGCTTAAGTTGGGGGGCAGAGTGCTATTGCGAAGCGCAGCACTGACGCCATGGTATATTTCCACATTTGAAAGATTGGGGTTCGTAGGTAAGAGAGTAGGCGCGAGGATTGGAGGGGCATGTATTGATCGGTTAGTGTCTCGACATTCGTGTTTCTGAACTTATTGGCAATGTGCTAACCTAGCCAATAGTGTCAATATGTATGCATCCTGCTACTTGTTGACCAAAATGGAAGACCTGGAGCCGTTGACTCCAACAGCGAGTCCTTCGAGAACTTCGGGTAGACAGGGGTCCATGGAGTTGGAGAAACTGGAAATCTGACGGCCGGACACTATCCTATGTCCCTCGCCGGCTGCGAAACTTCTGCATAGCAACTGAAGTAAGAGACTTTTGTGTCCAGGAAGGTTTGAGTATTTCCATTCTGTAGTGAGATTGGCTGTAAAAAGTTTGAGAAGTTCTGCTATAGCGAGTTGTATTATTTTTTCACCTCTGGATTTATAATTGTATGAAGCACACTTGTGAGCGCAGACTTTGACAAATTGATAGATTGTATGTAACATAGATTCCAGGTTGGTCTCGATCAAAGAACATTTCTCCGACCATTATATTCATGAAATTGGAAGTACCGTAAAAGCAAATGCATCTAAACTCATTTGCTGTCCCTCCAACTGTTATATTCTACCTAGGTTACCATCAAACCGCAATAGATGCTTTCATACATATCCCAATACCTCGAATAATCCAGTATGGTAGTATCTACTGGTCTATCTAAACCCCCTTCAGATCAACCTCCCAAAACCCGATCAAAACCAACCATCTAACTCAAGTACTCCTTCGAGACCCCATCATCAAATCTATACCTAGTATTTCCAATGCAAAAATCATCTACAAAAAACAAATACTCAACAAACAAATTCCAAACCACAATGACGTACCTATTCAACTCATCCCAACTCGCGAGCTCCCGAGTGCCGAACGACCTAGTGCTCGGATGCAAGACGGGTGGGAAATAGTATAGTGTCCCGGGTGGCGGATGTTGAAGGTTCACGGGTATTTTAGTTGGATTCCAAATACCTGCGGTATCGGTACTTGGGGGTTGATAATTGAGATGATGGATGGATATCCAGGATGGAGTGGTGGATGGATAGGCGGAATGATGAAAAAGTAAAGGGAAGTTGTTCTTTTGAGGATGAGCTAGCTATGTAGTGACTGATCAGTGATTGCACGTATCTATTCTATCTACATATGATATGATATGATTTAATAATCAAAAGTATAGGAAACACAAAAACGACTGAATTCTCAGATTGACAAGTCAATGGCACGGCGTTCAGTTCCGCGCTAGGGAGTTGATAGTTTGGAAACTCTAAAGGTTGAACATCCAACTAGTGATTTGATACGAGGAGAAAGACATCTAGCGAACAATGAAGAGCTGGGGTAAAAAGAGCTATTCCTCGGTTTGTGCTCACGATGTGCAAATATTCACACTGCTTTGTCGATCCCCTCGCGGGGTTTTGGGGGCTTGCGTGAAAAGGGTTGGGGAAATGGATTTTCGTATACGGGTATTTGTAATTGTGATATCTGGAAGGGAGGGTTGCTATGATGGAGGTTAATGTGATATGAGTATCTGGGTAGTATATATCCATCCCAATGTTCCAACTCTATATGTTCTCGTCCTACTCTCCTCTTTCTCTATTTCTTCCTTCCATACTCCGCCCCTACAAATTACATATATCCTCGAGTTCGCAAGAATCACAGAATGAAATCCCGCGCGTCTCTTATTAGTACTTTGTCGCTTCTTGCGGCGACAGCCACGGCGAAAACATGCATTAATGCCACGGTGCCCGTTACGATATCTGCTCGTCAAGCAGTATTCGATATCGAGGTTCCAACAAGCAATCTCACTACTCCCGATTTCTTCCTCAATGTAACGCAGCAGGGAAGAAACTTCACGGATATAGCTTTGTCGGGATATCAGACGACGACTGGGACTTACAATATCAGTACCATGTATTGTAGACCCGATGCGGATAATTCGAGTAACCCGACGATACAGGTAAGCTTTCTTTTTTCTTGATGTTCGTCTGATGTATTATGAACATATCAGATTGGAACGTATGGGAATCCAAAACTAACTCTCCATACAGGTCCTAACCCACGGTATCGGCTTCGATAAAACCTACTGGGACCTCCCCTACAACAACTTCAACTACTCCTACATCGACACGGCCACCACCAACTACTCCTACCACACTCTCTCCTTCGACCGTCTCGGAACCGGTAATTCCTCGCACGGCGAACCCCTCAATGAAATTCAATCCTACATCGAAGTCGCCGCCACCGCGGCCCTCACAACCATGCTCCGCAGTGGTACCTTTCCATCCGCAATGAACACATCCTACACCCGAATCGTGCACATTGGTCATTCATTCGGAAGCGCCCAAACATACGCTTTAGCAAACATGTATCCCAACATCACCGACGGAATCGTATTGACTGGATTCACGATGAACAGTTCCTTCGTATCCTTATTTGCCGCGGGCGGAAACTTCCAACAAGCGCAGGAAAACCAACCGTCTCGATTCTTTAATTTTACTGCCAATATAGGGACTACGGATATCTCGTTGTCGTCACCCGAAGCCGTGCCCGCAGGCTACATGGTTTCATCCAATGCGGCCGCAAACAAATATCTCTTCCTCAAGCCCAACTATTACGATCCATCGATCCTGACCTATGCCGAAAGCACAAAGCAGACCGTTACACAAGGAGAACTTCTTACATTGGGTTCCTTACCTATGACTAACAATTATGCGGGACCGGTTATGGTCATAGATGGGGATGCGGATTTACCTTACTGTGGATCGGATTGTTTGGCCACTGGAGGGGTTGCGGATTCTTTGGCTGCGATGGTGAAGGATAGTTTTCCGAATGTTGGCGAGAATGATTTCGAGGCTTATATACAGCCTAATACTGGACATGGTATTAATTTGCATTATAATGCGACGGGAGCATATGGAGTTTGGCTGGATTGGTTGGGAGAGAAGGGATTGGCGGGTTCGTAAGAGTTATGGAACGGAAGAAAGGTATTGGGAGGAGATAATGAATTTGAGAAGGATGCAAAATTTGAGAGCGTTGTAGTGTAGATGATCGAGATGCCAGGACCAAAGGACTGTTGGAAGTCTTGAGGATGAAAAGCAGTTTGGGCGTTGAATTCTAGTTAATTAATGAATTACTATCAAGCAAAAATGGCCATTGAGGATGTTTGTGAGTAAATATATTAACTGTAATGTGCAAACCTTCAGCACGTAGCATATGAGGATTATGGATAGAAAGATACATGTGTATTTGCACACTCCGCATTGATTTATTGAATTGAAATAGTAGATATTCATCTCAGCATCGGATCCATTGCTGAATGGCAGTGAAAGCAAGTAACAATGACGAAAAGAAAAGCAGAGAATTTCCATTCTACTTCGAAGATGTCTACTTGTCTGAGTACTCCGGTCCACACACTGACAGTACAGGCAAGCTTTTGGCTATCTGTATCAGTGCAATAAGATCGTGTATATCATTCAGACGGTAGGTAGATAATGTGATGCCCTTGGCAAAGAATAAACGTAAAGCATAAAAAGAAGAAAAAAGTATAAATCAATATACCAACTACCTTTCTCCGAGGCTCTTTCAATTCCGCCACCAACTTATCTTCCCCACGCTGCTGTACCCCCATCTTTTCGATGACTTCCTTTTCCTCAACTAAGCTGGAAAAAGCATTCTAATTCCAATCATACCACCTGACTCTCTTCCAACCCCTCCCGAGAATCAAAAGATCCTCACGTCCATGCACATGACCTAATCCAATTTTCAGAACGCACAGGAGATTTCCACTGGGAATTCTCCGACACACGTGCAGGGTGGTAACAGCACTACCGTATGTAGCATATCAAATCAAATCGAGAGATCGAATCCAGAAATCAAATCGAGTCAAAAGAAAAGGAAAAGATCACAGAGAATCTCCAGACCAACGGAATCAACAGTCTAAAATTCAAACTATATTCCAAGGAACATTTTAGTTGCTGGGAAAAAGGCTTAATGACGCTTGATTAAATGGGGGAGCTTGGTACGCGGAATGCCAAGCGTTCAATGTCTAGAACAATGGTGGCTTCACGGGCTTTTCTAGACGGTCCGTTCGTCCCTATCTTAGTTTTCTTTTTGAGCCTTTTGAGGTATTGATCTAGGTAGATGTGGTTGAGTATGGAAACCTCGTGGCAAGTGCCGTCGCTAGAAATTTCGATGAGGGGAGTCATGTTAGATGAAGGCTAGAAGAAGAGTTTGTTGATCAATTAGATGATTTTTTCCGGTCTAATGATTCGAACGATTGAACAGCGCATCTGTTGTGATGGGGAGGGCAACAGATACCCAGTATCACGCACAAGCAAACATCGCAATAATATCGGCAACTCCGCGCATCAGTTCGAGATTTTTTATTTATTTGTTTGAGTTTGCTTTGGTTTGTTAGGTAACTTGGGTTTGTTCGTCAATTCTATGCGAGAGAGAGATAGCGGACGGGAGGAAGTCAGAAGAATTGGAAAAGCTAATAACTTTCTTTCATGCATGATGCATGGAATAGATTTTACGCACAGCACCCCTTCTGAAAAAGGTGACCCCGCGGATGAGATTGTAGACAGTAGAGAGAGTGGGTGGGTGAAGAAGCGAGGTAATTGCTTGGTATATGGTGTTTATGTTGTGATTGGGCAATGTCATTCCTGGGAGCGAAACGGGTGAGATAGGAAGGTGGAGATTTGATGGATGAGTATTCGCTATTGGGTGATGATTGAGTTTTTGCCATCAAGTTGATGTTGGTTCGCGGCGTGGAAGGCTAATTCATTAGTTTGGAGTATGCGTATCGGTGCTTTGTCGATTTTCGGAAGATGGGATATGGGATATGGGATATGGGTGAGGGATGCAGTTTCTTGAAACTTGAGAGAGATATTGGCAGGATTCAAGAAGGGAAATTTGGGACGTACGATATTTCGTAGCTGTTTTCGACGCTCATACCGTACTTTGTGACATAGCTATCTCTTCCCTATCTACTCGGGTCCATATTATCTTCCTGTCTAGTATTATAGTAGTATATGATATGATATGATATGGGTTGTTTGAGTCTGTGCTTTGGGGCATTGCAGATATCCATTATTGTACTCGAGTATTGTGGGCAAAGAAGCTTGTGGTCCATCCAGTGAGACCGTCGTATTGCCGTATTCATGATATTTATACCAACAGATATTGTATAGCCACCATGCCATGCAAGCAACGATACGATACGTACACCACGCGTCAAGACCCAAGATGGAGATAAGAAGATAGAAGTGAATCAGGTGTTAGACACGCCATGAGATCTTGTATTGAAGCGATAAGCACTTCCAAGGTTTATGCAATCCAAACTCGATCGGATAGATTTAATGAAGTGTGTATAGTGGCAAAGGAGCTAACATCATAGAAAGTCCCTGAGAATATTGCATGTGGCTCTGATGCATTCATCCTATCCAGTTCTCTATCTCATCGCTGCTACTGCATCGGAAGTGATACCAAATTCAATATCTTTGCCGGAAGCTTGCTTATTTTCTGCACCAGGTGTGTAACGCTGAGGCGTACAGAATAACCTTAACAAGCGCATACGACTCTTTTTTTGGTACGAAGTGTGCATACCTACCTACGCATAGATAGGTACACAACGGGAAAATCCCTCCTCCACGAGAAACCCATCCTGTTGTCATTTGTCTACACTGCAGAAACAAAACGTTCAATAAACTAGTCGTAGTCGTACTACTTACCTCGTACATACAAAACAAGTGGAGATGAGATATTGACAGCTACAGCTACAGCTTCACCATCACCATCACCATCACCGTGGCGATACTCCTGAACCGTGATCCTATTATCCCGCAGTAAACCCAATAGTTTTATATAATGATTGAAGAAGATCAAATCTCAAGCACTATATCGAAATCAAAGGCTCTTCGCATATCGATTTATCAAACGCAACGAGCGTATCTGATTCCTATCCAAGCTTGTCTAGAATGAAGTTAGTGTTCCGTGCTGTACAAGGATTTATTAGGGGTAAAAGGTGGTTTTTGGCGGGTCTTGGTGTAACTATTTTGCTGAGAAGAGATTAGTTTTCGGGATCCTAGTATCAAAAATCTAGGAACAGGAAGGGATCAGCTTCTCTAGAGCGAGATTACTTTGGATAGTGAAAAGAAGAGGAAAGTTTGGTGTTTCAATAGACTTGAGAATGGACGAATGAATGGATATCGTGACTGAGTATTGACGGGACTACTAGATGCTGGCTATCCAAAAATTTAGTGAACGAGTAATGCCGGCATGAAGGTCTGCGGAGTGGGAACTTGGAAGTTGGTGATTAGATTATGTGGACTTGTAGAACTGATAGATAGACGGGACGGGTAGACTGGGTAGACTGGATCGATTGAATGGATATGAAGATTGTTTGAACTTTTGAAGTGGAGGAATGAGATAGAGTGGCACTGTGGTACTAGCTATGGATCCTAATGGTTGAGCCAAGGTCAGACCAAACCCGACCAGACCAGACCAGACCAGGTTATGAGGAGAAATACCTGTTCATATCCATATTCTTGCTGCTTGCTTGCTTGCTACTCCGTACATTAGCCTACCTACTCACTGGTACCGTTCTGGCTGGTACTTATTATCTTTTCTTTTCCCCAACTGTCCCTAGTCGCTTAGACAATACGTATACGGAGTAGACGCTAACTAGGTAGCTACAGTACTAGGTAGTGTAGTCAGTATCTATCGCGCAACCACAAAAAAATACCTTCATGCATATCTAATCCCTCTCCCCTCCTTTTTTATGGCTATTTGACTCGACTCGACTTGACTCTATCCTTTTCATCTTCTTGGATATTCTTAATTTATAACCCATTCGATCCTTATCATAGTAATTGTTCTTGTTGTATACAAAAGAAAACAAGTATCACTTCGATCCTTAATTGTTTATTCGTTATCGTCCTCTTTCAATCGGATTCACCAAAGTTGCTACTACTACTACTACTACTACTACTACTGTACGATTAGGTTCTGAGCAACACCCGAGAGGAATCATACGCCTAAATCTTCAATCATTCATTCAAATCATCCATCCAACTGAATCATATTTGACAACCAACCTTTTCAAAAGGAATTTAATTGAATCAATTGTCACAGACTCCATACGATAAGAAATTCGAAATCACTTATTGGTCTTGTGTTGGAGAATAAAAGCTTCTTCAAAACAACAATTCGAAGATCTTTCAAAAATAGAAAGTTCGGTCGTTCTTACCTCGTTTCGAAAAGAGTACGCTAGCACCACGGATTAGAGCTTCTACGAACCTACCTACTATCTAAAGTAACCTTCAAACCACCTTTATCAATCATTCCTCCGTTCGAGCATCGATATACCAATATATCTCGAGCCAAAGAACCTTCTTGAATTAAAAGAAGGGACACTAAGTCAAACACTCATCATGTCCTCCCCTGTCGATGAAAAATCGACTCTTGTCGACACGAACGTTCTTACCATCAATCGACCTACTCCCTCTCGCACACAATCCAATCAATCCGTTCTCAGCACAATCGAAGATGTCGACTCTACCCATTCTTTAAGTCCAACTCACACTCGATACGAGAAAAGCAGTCTGTCCCAAGAGACCTCTCCATTCTCTCCATTCTACAACCCAAACCCTACACGATATTCGCTCGAAGCACAAAAATCCTCGTCGAAGCAGAATATTGCGATGTACGATACAGACGTTGAAGCTTGTCTTACACCACAACAAACAACGAAGAGTGGGGCATTGTTGACAAAGGCGAAGACGGGTGCGACGCAGGAATGTACGGTATGGCCCGGTCAACAACAAATGAAGAGGAAGAAGAAGGCTATGAAACAACACAGACTGAGTGCAGGCATCTGCGGTTGCATGGCTAATTTCGATCGAAAGACAAGAATCTGGATTAAGGTCTTGATAGCTTTGGTGGTCGTTGCTCTTGCCGTCGGTGTTGGTGTCGGTGTCTCTAGAGCTGTTGGAGGAGGAGTCTGGAAAAATTCGCAGAGCACCAACACTGCCATTCCCAGCTAATTGGAATGAATTGGCCAATAGATGAGTGTATAAGGTATGTTCGATTCTGCTAAACCGATGCCAATCGATGTCAATCGATGACATATTTGATGCTAATCGTGTCTAGTCATGATCTCCGTCTATACCGGCGTACAGCACATCCTCTGCTACTGCATTCTCGACCCACTATACACAAATACCTCGCAGCATGAGACTTGCAGATCTCTTGGCCTTTCCAATTCGATTGATCACCCAATCCTAAACTAAGTCGCCTTGTACATACACTATCCTCGATGTCGGTCCTTCAATCACATCATCGTTCTTGGGCGTTCGCGGAGCATCTTTTTCTTATTTTCTTATTTCTTTCCTAGCGCAGGGTGAAATAAGCATAAAGCACCAACATTTTTTCAACGTTTTGTTTTTCCGTTACGACATATTGCATATGACATAGCTAAATGATGTGCATACGTTATGTGGTCCATGGCGTGGAGACACTCTTTCTCTTTTCTAATCATCGGTCGTGCCTAATGTTCGAGGGAGGCAGGGCGATGGAAAATTTGCTCGATTTCTGATTTCTCTTGCTGTGCATAGATGATACGAGGCGACGATTGTGGTGGTAGTGGTATGGGGATGAGAATGTTCATACATTGCATACATACATATCATACGTGGATAGATGAGGGCAAAATCTGTATTTGGAGTATTGGAGCGAAATGGATGACTGGATGGGATGGAGGGAACTATGGGAAATGCTAATGATATGACCACCAACTACTTGATGAATCTTTTACATCTTTTGTGACTGTTGATGTGAAATTGAGTTGAATAATTCCAATAACTTTGTCTTAGCAAATCGTTCGGGAACATATAGCACAAATGCAAGAAGCAAGAACAAAGAGAATGAATTAATAAATAAACAAAACTAATCACATCAAAAATACAACAAGAGAAATGGGCACAGCAGCCATTTATCAATCAATATACGAATCTAAATCGGAGATAGAAGGAAGTATCGGCATCTTGGTCAGCCCAGCGCATTCGCATCACACACACACACACCAAGAATCAAGATGCATCATGCATCTGAGTGGAGTTTTTGAGGTCATTTTTTCTCTTCGAAGCGGAAAATGGAAATTTGGCGGATTTCCGAATCCGAATGGATGGGTGATTGGGTGGTTGGGTGGATTATGTAATGCGAGATTGTGTGCATGGATTTGGATTGGGATTGGGATTTATGAGGGAGAGAGGGAGGGAAGGAGAAGGAGGGGAAACTTGGGAGGGAAGTGGTTTTGATTGGGTTGTGGATTTGATAATGGATAATGGATAATGGATAATGGATAATGGATAATGGATAATGGATAATGGATAATGGATAATTAGGTTGTTGGATAGATGGTTGGATGGTTTGGAAATTGGTGGTTTGTTGTATAGAAATCGTAATCGTTATCGTAATAATAGTATTGAGTACCTACCTACTTGATATATTTATATTTCAAGATAAAGATCATTGTTACTCTTCTAACTTAACCCCTCCCTCAATAACCTACATGTTTCTAAAGTTCGACATCTAGTATCTCTACTTTCTCCTGTTCCTCCTCCTCAACATCATCTTCTACATCTACGATTTCAAGCTCAAGTTCAAGCTCATGCTCAACTTCATCCTCGTCCACGCTCTCCTCTACGATTTCGATTTCGAATTCAATGTCATACTCGATCTCCTCTTCGATTTCATACTCAACTTCAAATTCTATCACCTCTTCTTCAATCACCTCTTCAATCACCTCCTCTTCCTCTCCCACATGTCCCAATCTCCCCTCCAACTCCTCACACTTATCCCATCCCTCAACAATCCAAACCATTCCTCCATCACTTCTCATCTCTCTCCAATCCTCCCTACTAACCCCCATTTGCCACGTTCTCAGAATCCCCTCCTCACACGTTCCTAGTCCTCCGTTGATTTCCGCATCTCCTCTATTATCCTCACATCCTTCCGCGTGTAGAACCCAGGGCTCCATGATCTCTATTTCCATTTCTTCTTCTTTCTTCTCGTTTTTACCATGGCACTTCTTCTTTCGATTGTTCTTCTTGAGTTCCTCGTCTGCATGGCCCGGGGATTCGAAAATGTGTTTTTGTTCATCTTTCTCAATGCTGTTGATCTCAACAGGGAAATATACCCAGAATCTTTCACTCCCATCACCTCCCGCTCCATCACATCCACACCCAGAACTGAAATCATAAACGTATCCCCAGTCATCAACGATATTTGGATGGAGGGCAACAGGCTCAACAATCCCTTCGCAGAAGCCGGGGAGTTTTGCAGAAGCGTGTGGTTCGAGGGCGCCGGAGGTGTAGGGGGTTAGGAAGGTAGCAGAGTAAGAGAGACATTTTTCGGGTGACGTGAGAGGGGCTTGGGAGGATGTGTGTGCGAGAACAGAGACGGGAGGATGAAAAAAGGCGATGAGAGGAAGGTAGCGGAGGAGATTGGTTAGGGTGTGCATTTTGGGACAAGACGGGAGATATGTGTGGATTGTTGTGTATTTTTGGATATTGCTTCTAGAACTAGTAACTTAAAGCAGATAACACAAATTGAAGAAATGGAGAAAAGAAAATTCGGGGGAAAATAGTAAGAAGTCGAGTTTTTCCTTCAAACCAGCTTCAGTCTTAGCTTTGAAGAAAATGGGGCAGTCAAAGAATGACGCAAATATATGTCTTCATTTACCAACAGATCAGCTGTTTGAAACCTTGCCCTGGAAAGGTCTGCCTTGGTCTTCGACTCCAACATGAATCTATACATACAAAATAAAGGCCATTCTAGACCGTCTCAGCCATCGTCCTTCGACCAGAGACGGCCACCATACATACTTATCAATAAGCCATCTACAAAAGACATCAAAATTGTGGCGGGCGACGAAGTTTCAGTCGTCCTACAGCTAAGCGCTGGACGTATCTCAGGTCGCTTCATCCCTCGATTGAATGTTTGTTGTGCGCTTAGTTTGATTGGCGCCAACATTACGCATACCTTACAACGTACTGGATCCTTCACTTGAATAGATGCATACTCGATCAGTAAATGTCTTTTTCCTGCAGAATAGGTTAATTCGTGTAGGAATACGCAAGAATCAGAATCGCCTGCGAACACTCGTTCTCAATTAATCGCTTCCCTGCATCTCCTCCCCTTCCAAATTTCTCTCATGACATCAATCGAGGACTAGAGAAAAGTCGTGCATTGGAATTTGGGTATTGAGACTGGTGTAAGATTACATAATTCGGTAGTGCCATATATATACCTACTGCGCTTCATGAAAATAAGACTGTTTCAAGAGGATTCTCAACCGCGTTCAATTATAGTGTATATGAAAATCCGTGAGATTATGACAGGTGATCATGTATGGGTGGATCCATTATCCAGGCATGATCCGCGCTCAGAATGTACTTTAGATTCTGCATTCTTCAGCATGAAACGAAGGAAAGAAATGAACGCAAGTAAATTGAGTTTCTGTGGATGATCTTGGATATCGTCCTCCACTCTCCACACGATTTAAGAAGACCCTACAGTCTGGTTATGAAATTCACTACTGGAATAGTTATTGAGCATGGCCAGGGTGGAATGAATTGAGACGTTGGATCTCCAACCTCGAGGCATATTCGGAGCACTTGCTTAATGATGGACCCATCTAGCTCTTATTGTCCAATATTCGCGACCGAAAATGAAATATGCGTCGAAATAATGATATTTGGAAGACAACCACTAGATACTATGTTGTTTGGATGTCCAGCCGCTAGGTGCAAAAAACATGCGTTGTGAAGAGAACACAAGGGGAATGCGACAAGAATAGAGCAAAGTCAAAACTTCTTTTGATAAGAGCGAAACAAATTAGGTAAGTGAGTGGTATGTGAAGGAAAGTGTAGAAGGGAGTATGAGATTGCCTATAAGTTATCCTTCTATGATCCCTTGGTTCAATTATGAAAAATATCGACTCGTGTTTGTAAAGAAAATGAAGTTTGTCGATGGCAGTAATAAGGTCGAAGAAAAAAGCCAGTGCTTTAAAAATTGAAGATTTCAATAATCCTGGGACACTGCTGCTGACTCCAGAGCGACTTCATGAGACAGCCATGCCCCGTGATTCATGATTCCCGATTCCTAAATGAAAATGGGAATATCGTACACACAATACAATAAAATGGTGAAGTCACGCGCTCATTTCTACACGTCATTTTGCCGCCAATTGAGGCTGATACCCACATAGTCATGATGGGGTACTGGGCAGTGAGCAATACCGTAGCCAAATGGACAAACCGGAAAACATTGGGAGAGGAAAGGGACAAATAACCCCGAGTTTTGATGCTATCCAGAGTTATCATGTATGACCGAACTTATGGCGACGTGATAGGCTAATTCCTATATATAATATAATCTCTGCAGAGCTGCCGGGCTTTTGCAATATTCTCCGTTTGGCTGCGGTGCGAACTTCGAAGTGCGAGGTACATACGAAGTATGGTGGCACCGGTATATGCGTGCTAATAAGGAGGTAGGGATGACACAGCCCGAGAACAGCCACCAGAAAACTCGCGATATCGATATCGTATATTCGTAATCAGCGGCACGCGGCAGGAAGGAGAGAATGTGAAGTCGAGTAGATTAATTCGCATTCCTATTGCAATTTGCAATCGACAAGTGTCAAATTAAGAATTGTATCCGAGAGGTTTCAGTCACGGCATTCATTACTCGAGTAGAGAGACCCATGCGAGCCATGCTAGGTAGGTAATATGGGGGACCCGATTTATATGATGATATAATCTCGATAATCTCCGATTTCCTAAAATACAACCCCTTCCTCCCTTCCTGACTACCTGCCTAGTCCTTCGCACATACATCGTACATCGTACATCGCACACACAAAATCCAGATGAGCGATCCAATTATTTATTCAGCCTCGTACTTGCCGGTTGAACGACCAATGGCATCCCTCGATATTCACCTCGGTAGGACAAGATAAAATTGACAAGGTTTTTGCGTGGCTCGTGTCGTCTTCATCCATTCATTCATCCATCCATTCATTCCCTACCGGTACCTACCCATTTCTGGACTCAAGTCGACACATTTTTATTCCTTTGACCTTTCTCGTACTCGACCTCCCTACCAATACGACGCTTTAAATAGCAACTCATATTTGGTATTGGTAAGAAGAGGCTTTGCACCGCACTTTTCACACTCGATAGCTATATTTCTCTTCGCCTTCTTGCATTTTGGTGTTTGGTTCGCAGATCGGAAAGAATTGGGCATGATGGATGTGATCCGTCCACGAAGACCACATCACAAGAGTAGAACCGGGTGTCTTCAATGCAAATCAAGAAAGGTCAAGGTACGTATGCTCTTCTTGCTTTCGTTTGGAGCGAATTCATTTCCATATGTCGCAGGTCTGCATATATCATTGCTGCACCAATAGAACATCCTAGTCTCTGTCATGAAAAGCTCTCTGGTAGACACAATGTTCTCAATGGGGTTCTCGGCGTTGCACCCACATTACTCATTACATGTTTTTCTCCAATTTTCCCCAAATTAAAAAAAAATCAGGATTCAGCTGACAAACATATTTAAAAAGTGTGATGAGAAGAAACCATCATGCCAGAAATGTCAAAGTTATGGTTCAGGTTCAGAATGCTCTTATTTGCGTACACATCCCATGAAGAGTCTTCATAGTCACGAGATTCAGTGCAGTACGATGATGCGACAAGGCTCAAAGTCCAGATCGCCAGCGTCTGATATCTCACCTTCAAAAGTTGAATTGAGTCCTAGACCAGTTGTTTCGCCTGCTCCATCTCTGCCTGCATCGAATTATTCCTTTTCTATCCTTGATATGGAACTACTTCATTATTACACCATGTATGGCGTTTCAGATTTCGTCGACTTTGCCACTGGCCAAGAACTCTACAGAACAACTGTTGTAGAACTAGCTTTCCAGTTTCCATTTCTTATGCATGAGATTCTTGCGTTGGCCGCCTTGCAATTGTCACATGCCCGACCGCTCAAAGCTGCTTACTATCACGGAGCATCAACTACTCACCTGACTACCGCTCTCCAACAATTCCAATCTGCGATCTCCGATCTCACAGCTGAGAATCTTCAAGCATGTTTCGCGTTCACAACCATCATGTTTACATTTGCCTGGACGTCACAGGATTCCAATCTATCCAACCATTTGTTCTTTGGGCCCGATTGTGCCGAAAATGAAAGTACATTCCCTCACTCCCAATGGTTCAAGCTTTACCGAGGTTCCAATTTTGTGCTCAAAAGTACTTGGGAAAATCTGTCTCGGGGTCCGTTCAAAGTGCTATTCGATCCTTGGATTGACTTTCAACGAGATTATATCCCATCACTCGACCCAATCGACGATTCCCATGTCTCTTCGCTCGCAAGTGCGTGGTCTAGTACTTCTGCATGCGATCTCCCGCTCGAAGAGCGACAGCACTTGGATAGTGCACTCGATACGTTGAAACGAGTTTTTGGACTCATGAGAGCCCCTAATGCACCTTCACCTCTAAGCGTGGTTATGAGTTGGTTTTCTTCCATCACCGATGAGATGGAGGCGATGCTGGCTAGGAGAGTGAAAGAAGCGTTATTACTCGTGGCGTATTATTGTGTGTGCATACATCGTGTATCACATGTATCGTGGATGAGTGGGAAGGGGAAGAATTTGTTGCAGACTACTTTAGATGAGTTGGGGCCTGGATGGGAGCAATGGACGGCGTGGCCTATAGAAGTCGTTTTGGGGAGGGAATGGAGGGGTGGGAAGACGATGAGTGTGGATTTTATTAGTGGTGCATCATGAGGAGTTTTTGGAATTACGTGCATGCATTTGAGGATTGGCGTTGGAGATACCAGTTGGAAGGCTTTTGTTGCATTAATCAGGCGTACTTTGGTAAATCGGCGGGGATGCATGGGTGTGACTAGTTAAGTGTTGATTGGATAGTTTGTGTTTATATCGAATAATACCCCCCATACTTGCTCAAGAACCCATGGTGTACTCCTCAAACCTTCCTTATTAACGCCACTAGAATAAATATGGAGAATTCCAATGCTGATAAAACCAATAACTCTCGCTGCAATCACTACAATACGATCATGATATACCGAAGCTGCGATAGCAACCTTCGCTCTACTTCTCACTTCGCGACCTTCAAATAATACTCATGTGTCCTCCTTCACTTCCTCAAGTAGCAGCTTCCTTGACCTCACCCACCTTTTGTGGCGGCTCATCAATAAAACTCGGCACTTCATCCACCATAAAACTTGGTGTCCCCTCCGCCATGCCCCCCAAACCCTCCAACTCCGCTTCTTCTCCCAGCGCCTCCAACTCCGCATCTAGCTCCGCCTCATCCACCTCCTCCGGCAAATCATAACTCCTACTAATGCTCTCCTGAATCTCATTTCCCACCTCCATCAAATCCGCCATCTCATCCTGCATCCTCTCAATCTTATCGATATCAATCTTGCCAT